GTACAGAAGCACATGTACAAGGACACACGCTTATACACAAGGGAAATGCATAGCAGAGGGTGAGAAAAACAGAGCTGGGGCTACGGGGAGAGAGAAGGAGAGAAAAGGGGAAAGAGAGTTGACAGGGGTTGTCTCACTTGACCGCTCTGTCTGCTGAAGTGATGAAAGCCACCAGGACGGAGTACTGCTCATACTACGTACACCGTGTACAAACCAGATTCCAGATTCGACAAGCATTTCATCTGTCCACACTGAAAGAGAATACGCTGTGTGACGAAGCACAACAGCAGCCAATCAAAGCCTATTTTTAACATTCCGTTATCTGGAGGGGGATTTTTAATGATATTTCGCTGTAAGCAGAGCTGCTGAACATGAAGTCACAAATAAAAAGAAAAGAAAACAACTGCTTGTTATAGCTGGTCAGGGCAAATTTTTTTTTTTTAATTTATCATGTCATGCCTAGTTAAGACATATTGTCACGGTCAGCTCATATAAACAGCAGAGTCCACGCTGTCCAATGAACTGCCTGCCTAAAATTCTCAGTTTAGCTGGGCAAACAGCTGAGTACATTTATTGATGCTATTTTAAATGCTTTGGAAAAACAGATATATAAAAACTGCATCTTAAAACAAACAAAACAAAAAAAAATCATAAAGTCTGAATGATGCAATGGCACATTATTAAAAGTTTTTAAAAGGACCATGTCCTATACTTTTAGAGTGTTCATTCTTTTTCCTCTTAGAAGTCCGTCTGTTCAGTTTCTTTAGACCAAGAACTGTCTAGACCATTTTCAACCCTTTGAAAAAAAACTGTCTAGACTCTAGACATTTTAACTGACCTTTAGAATTAGGCTAAATTGCCTATTTTGACTACTGTACCTTACAACTCTTTAATAAGTACATTTACATGTTAAAGTATGTCCATGTAGTTCATTGAAACTCTAACTTCAAAAAAAAAAAAAAGAATAGTGAAAAAGTGAGTAAATAAATTTCTGCTCCAGCTTGTGTACTCTTATGCTTAAAACTTGGCAGTGTGTACTACAAATATTGTTGCCTCTTATGATTAATTGCTTGTATTGTTTGTATTTTATTTGTCACGCTGTCAAATGACTAAACATCAAATGAAAAAATTGAATTTGTTGCTATACTCTGTGCTGTAAACCTACATTTGTATTGCAAATATTTCATTCTCTAGCTTTGTTTCACACCTCTTGTCTCCCTCCATCACCGGCTCACTTACTGTCATGAAAATAGAATGATTGAAGAGGTAATGAATGATTAAGAGAGAGTGATGAGCTGAGAAGAGTGAATGACAGAGAGAAAATCCTATATTTAAAAGCGAAGCATTCTGCCCAACAGTTTACATTCCAGTGCAGCTATTATCCAACAGGTGTCATCACCCTCATGCCCTTCAAAGCTTAGAAACAGATCCACACAACTAAACACACACATACACACACTAGTATCGGTCTATAGTCAAAGTTCTTATTAGTCCCTCATGTGTGCTATGAGAAGTATGACTTTGAAAAGAATTACTTTTGGAAGCTTACGTGTTAATTCTACCAGGAAGTCTCTAACATATCATTCATTCATTCTCAGTCAATCATGATAAAGTTTCCATTTTAAAGATCCTCAAACAAACTGTCATTTTGCTGCTGCCAATGGACAACTTGCATTCACTCGCCACCAAAATGAGTCCTGCTGGTAGAATATACCAATCCAAACCTAACCCGATAACATTCATGAATCTTCTGAAAAGGTACTATTAAATAAAATGTGAAAAATATACATCCTTACAAGTTCTTGAAACTTTTTTGCATTTTAGATCTTTGTTTCATGGTCTCTCCCACTTTGGCCAAAAACAACATCAGACACAGGAACTGCACTGTAATCAGAAGTTGAATGGGTTCAGAAAGAGAAGTTCATTCATAGATATCACATTCAACACCGTTTTCATACCTACTGAGAAGGTAAATACTCATGCAGTGAAACTGGCAACTCTCCCAGAGTAAATGTTGGACTAAAAAAACTGGTGCAAACCAGTTGATTAATCTTTGCTCAATCAAATAAGCTAACAAAAATAGTAAAATTCCTCTTCGTACTTGTAAGCATGAATATAAATATATTTCAGAATTTCTTTTTATTGATTATTGGAAATATACTGACCAATATTTAATCCAGTATTTAATTGTGCATGCTCTTTTTCCTTATTTTAAAATTTTCTTTGCTGTCATCTATCACTCGAATAGAATAGAGGAACACAATTTACAGTATGTTAAGGCATGTATGTGAGGCAATATGGCACAGGTAGGTTACATGTCTTTTTCTATTAAATGGGCAGAAATTGTATGTTTTGTATGTTTTCTCTAACCAATCCACCAAACGGCTGTTGAGGACAAGAAGCCATGAAACTGTGCAATGATTTACTGTCCCGGAAGTAAGAGAACAATCAGTTCAGACTGTAATATTTTGCCCCTTTCAATATTACCTGAATGAAGATAATGATAGATGTACTGCATCTAAATCTTTTAAAAAGAGATGCAGGCAGAATGTCTAAACATAAATAAGCATACCAATGATATATTGCCAAAATGTCTATTATCAAATCTCCAGTGTTTACACTGATTGAAAGAGAATATGAGAAAATCGAGCCTTTCCTCGAGCCTGTATACTGCCAAGAGAATCAACGGCTGCCTCTTCACGCCATATCCTAATAGCTGGCATTCTCTACACAGCATCACTTGTGTGATCTGTATACAGTACCTATTGGAAATTGGACATTTATAACCCACTGCCAAGAAATCAGTGCCTCTAAAAGTTTATTTGTATTTATAAATCAGTCCTATTACATAACTGAGACAGGTAGCAAGACTGAATCTGCAGAAGAGGAGAAAGCAAAGTGCATAAAGGCACGATCACTGCAAAAGAGGCAGTGCGTCAACATCATCCTGCCCAAGCTGAGCGCATTTTTTCCCGGTGTGATTTATCTGTTTGTGCCGCCGGCCGCAGCGCCAGTTCAGAACACAAGAAGAGCATCGACATGCAGTATGTCAAGACCAACATCCCTCGCCGTGGAGTGGGAAAGTGGTTTGTTTAAATAAATATCGATATAATAAAACCTCAAGAGTAAATTACACATTGATTATTTGAGGTGATATGCTCCACTTTGATGCGGAGCAAAGATCCTTACTCATCTTCTTAGTGTTCACCTTGAAGCAATGGCCTTGGGCCTATAGAATCAAGCACTTCCTCTCTTAGATCACAATGTGGCATTCACTAGGAGTCACGCAGCTCGAGGAGAAGAGGTGTTTCATGTTATTTAGAGTTATTGTGTTCTTCAAAAAGTCTGTGCTTGAAATAGGCCAAGCATTGCTTTAAATTGTAAGCAGTTTCCTTCCTGATATGTAACAAAGCTTTTCAAAAAGGCCTTTATTTTTACCACACCCGTGACAGACATACATATACGCACATAATGAAAGAGGTGGGAAAAAGCAGTAAAGAAAAAAGTAAGGCACTGAATACATTTTAAAATGGTCTTAATTTGTCAATATCAGACCCGTCAGAGTGGACAAATAGACTGGCTGAGTCTATGCATCATCTCTCATATTGCCTCTAGAGACAGATGAGCATCTCTGATCCGCACACCTGCTATGCGATGCAGAACGAGCTTTCAATCTCCTACTGTGAAATGTGGAAAATTGGTGTTCAGCGATTTCAAATTATGATTAAAGATCATGAGCGAAGGAACGATTTGAAATGTAAAGGGGAAACATTAAGGCATGGGCATCTCTCTAAAAGTGAACATTTCTAAACCCAACTTATTCATCTAAATAATTATCAAATACCAAGACTGAGAGCATACTGTAATTCGGACCTCAAAAACTACACCAAATACACATATAAGGCGAACAAGCGAACTAGAAAAAGATCATATTTAAATCTCTTTTCTTTTGCTCTTAGACAGCAGACAGTCCTGTGTATCTAGGCCTACCGGATGCCAGTTCAACCCAAATTAAGAAAGAAAACATGCAAGCAACAGTTCAGACCAAACCGATGAGCCGGACTTATTTCTAGAATGACCTACCCGCACACTATCCTCCTATAATGTCTGTCTGTTTTAGGGGTTGAGGTAGGCTTGTGGGTTAGTTCCATCTCACAAATCCATGGTGTATTTCAAACAGGACAAGAAGTGCAACTCCTGTTTTCAGCACATTTATACAGTGCCTGATGAAATAATCATGTTGTCATTTTTAAGATAAGTGTTTAAACTGCTGGTGGGTCATCTTTTGCAGCATCTCATGTATGTCAGATTTGCAGCGCCGCGAACAAACCAATATGCCAAACTTAAGGAGTGGAATGGAAGAATAGAATGTGTTTGCTGTGTTTTTTTTTTTTTTTTTACTTTGCCTTACCCTAAATGTTTTCATTAAAAACACACAAGGCAGCTAATATACAATGGTCATAGAATTTACCATTAAAAAACTATTAGGTTATAGCTACTTTTCCAAGTTATGTTGAGGTAACCAAGACCCTTCTTCTGTTTCCCCTTGATGTGCTTGTACTAAAATGAATGAACTGAAAAATATGATAAATGTCAATGCACATTCATCATGACGGGGCAAGCAATGAGCTCTCACGCGGCATTTCACTGAAGTTTCATCCATTTTCAGGATGCCAGAGCAATATTGCCTATTTTGACAGCAAAGTAAACATGACTTAGTAGCAATGCTTTATCACAGAGCTCGGCGAAAAACGACCAAAAAAAGAAAGCTTTGAAATTCAAAATAATTCCCTCTACAATATCTCCGTCATACTTTTTATACACTTCAACATTCCCGCAAGATAAACTAATTTCACAGATATAACGTAAATAATTTGTTCGTCTGACAGCATGTCATTCGCGCATCCAAACTTATCCTTCTTTCGGTTTGGTCAAACACCTGCCGTTTCAATCTAAACCGACAGTCATGATAAAAGTGTAGTGAATGAAAAAGCGCTTACCGGTACCGTTTCGTTTACGAGTCTCTCCGTGGTCCTCTGAGCCCAACATTACTGGCGTAGGCTACTTGTCGCTCTCCGGTGTTTCCGCGCTGAACTGAACTGATCCTGAGCACCTCGCGCAGCTCAGTGGTCACCCGTGCGTCACAAACCCACGGCTCTCTCCAGCAAAGCTCGTGTCACTCACACTAGCGGCGCGCGTGAAAGCTCTCCTCAGAGGAACTTTCCAGACTCTCCTTCTTTCTTAAAAACTATCACATAAGATTTGCAACTAGTGCAGTGGTATTCGCTGGTCTTCTAAAATGAGGAGGCAAAATTCCCCTTCTTCCGTTTTTTACCCATTATAAATTCATGTTCCAGTTCCACTTTATGTTTCTGAATTAAAGGCTTATGTAGCTAATTTATCCACAAGCAACCGATGCTATGTATAGATTATTTTTATACATTAATATACTATGAAAAAAGGTTTTAGGCTACATAAGTCTCAAGTTTAAGCGGTTTTAACAAGTGCTTGGCTATATGATCACCTAACCCTAATGCTTTTTTTGGACCATTAGTCAATAAAGCAGCCTTCACGCGCTTGTCGGAAGACATGTCGATTCTGTGGTCGTAATTATGTCAAGTTCAAGTAGTGGTCAGGCAGAACAGCGAGGGTTTGTCGCTCCATTCACTTTCCTCCATGTAAAAATTACAATATGTGTATATTGTATTGTTAATGATTTGAGGGGGAGTTCATGTGCAACTTCTAAGGCAGTTACTGCATTTAGCTACAATAATTTAGAGAGCACCTGAATTAAGTA